AATCGATATAATCAAGGCGTGGGGTGTGTGCACAGTGACAAGCTAAGAGAGAATGTTTAAAGAGTGTGTACCTTATTGGTTTAACCCTGTATTTATAGATGGGTTATCTGAAGGAGTGTAATTCTGGGCCTCTTAGAAATATTGGGGGCCCAAGTCCAATTGCTTAGCTGTCTGGATAAGATTGTCATCAATAGGAGATTCCCTTGCTTTTGTGCTGTCCTTTATTGGTCCTTCTAGAATACGGGCTTTTGTCAGGTTCATAACAACTCCATGATACAAAATTAATTTTAGTAATTTTTTTAAAATATGATTATATGTTAAAAACAAATATCTACCAAAGATCTAGATTGCATTCATAATAAAAGTGATAAAATTTGATTAAGATAACTCAAATTTGTAAGATTAAATGTTTAAGAGTTGAAAAAATTCTGGGCTGGAGTGTAAGGAAACAAACCTCCCAGGAATTTTGTGAAAATTGGAGAGTATATGTTTTTCTAGTTTTCTTGAGTTCATAGAAGTTTTATAAACTCACATAAGGGGTAGATTTGTCCAATTAACAATTTATGGGCATTTTTGACATTTAACAAAATATTTTTAAGGGATTTGCATCTATCATGTCACATGACATCAAAAAGTTTCCTCCACACACAACATTTTGTGGGCCCACACTTTTTAAAGCAAAAATAAAAAATAAAGCACGCAAAACGAATCTCTATAACATTAGACAATCACTTTTCCTAGAACATAACTCTTATAAAACCCTATTTTTAAATAGGTGAATTGAAATCTAACTGAAAATGTGGTGCAGACAGAGCAGTATTACTTTTACAAACAAAACCTGTACAGATTCCTCATAAACAGTGAGGTGGCATTAATAAAAAGAATGGTTGAATATATTTTATGTTATAAGAGATAAAATTATCTCCTACATATATAAAAGTATATGAGATTTATTTTCTGTTCCTTTTTCTTTTCAAATGATCTCACATGGACCTTACACACTAGTGGACAATGCTTTGACATTTGAGCCTATGATAATATAGCATAAGTGTATGATGAACTTATATTAATGTAAATTAACATGTCTTATATTTATTATTTATTATTAATTGTTGATTTCATTTGCATTTAATAGTTTATATGATTAATAAATTAATTTTATTAAAATATAAGTGAGATTAATGATTTACAATGGAATAAAATTTGTACCATGATTTCCATTGTACAAATGTTATTTGTAACAATAGCATTTCTGGTATATACATAAAAAGGTTTTATAAGAGTTATGTTGTAGGAAAAGTGATTGTTATATTATAGAGATTCGTTTTGCGTGCCGAAGTTTTTTTTTTTTTTTTTGCTGCGGGCCCCACAAAATATTGTGTGTAGGAAACTTTTTGTGGTCATGTTAAATGATAGATGATAAACTCATACATAAATACACAATTGAAGTGTCAAAAAGAGGTGGCATGGTGAAGCATTTGTGTTTATCTGTTCATCTTGGTAATTTACCCCGTTCAAGCGTTACCAACTTATCATTCATATGGTTTGCATGAGTAACAAATGGAAATTGTTTGTAGTGACGTTGATGTGTGTAATCACTTTGCAACCATTGGCTTTATTGGATCAGCATTTATGCGTTATTTCTTTATATATGCCATATTTTGAATTACAATTTTGCATAAGAATTTAAATAATAAGTAAATATTTTATGCATGGTACGAATATTCTTTAATTTAAATAAAAATTAAATAATAAAAGAAAATATTTAAAAGTATGTTAGATATATACATTATTATTAAAAATTTAATTAAAAATAAAGGCTAAAAAATGAAAAAATATGCATAATAAATTTTAAAATTAAAAAATAAGAATGACATGAGAAATTTTATTGATGGATTAGATTATTATAAAAAATGTGTACTTTGATTTATACATTTGTTCCTATTAATTATTTTCTATATATAAATGTTTTATTAGTTAGTAATGACCACTTGTATAAATAGGATTTAAAGTCTCAAATAAGTAATCCAAATTCCAAATAATAATTTGAAAAATAAGATTCAAAATCTTATTATATTTATTTATTTTCTTATATTGATTGATTCACCTTTGAACGATTATGATTCTCATTTTCTCTCTTTTCTTTTATTACCATTGATTTATCTTTGTACGATTATGATTAAGTGGTCGGAGATAAAGTTATCTCAAGCAACTTGAGAAACGATAAGCCATATATGGGTTAAACTAATCTCATGTTGAAGGAGATAACTTCTCTTACGTGAGTGACAAAATCAAAGTGGGTCCCATATTTATTTTTATTTTTTTAATGGGACCCACATTAAATTTATCTCACAACATGAGACATACTCTCTCATGTAATATGAGATTAGTTTAACCCATATATATATATGGGAAAAACTACTCTTATACAACATAAGAGTAGTTTTATCTCCTACACTCTCATCGAAAACTGTGACACTCTATTTTTTCTTTTTCTTTTTTCTTTAAATGGCGGACCCCACCATATCTATCTCTACAACATAAGAGAAAATCTCTTATGTAACATAAGATTAAATAAACCCTATATATATAGGGATAAGATAAACTTACACTAGTGTAAATAAGAATAATATGTCTTACACTATATCTTAATCATTAATTTTTGTGCATGTAACGGTTAAGATTTATTGGGTCATAATAAATAATTAATTAATATGACCGAACAATTCTTAATCGTTGGATGCACAAAAATTAACAATTAAGATGTGATGTATAACTTATTATTTTTATGTCGATATAAAAATAAGGTTAAATTACATAAAACCATCCTAAACTTTAAGTGTTTCTAAAAGACCACCTTGCACTTCTAATTAAAACAATTAACCACCTTATACTTTAACATTTCATCAATTAGACATATTTTATAAATTTAAGAAACAAATATCCATGTCTTCAACTTGCTATCAGATAATGTATTATCAAAATCAGCTAATAGCGGGCTTATCTATGCTCACAAGTGCTCCACAACAAAAACTAAACGAAACAAAAATGGATAATCTTTAAAAAATTGAAAATCCTTCTTCGTAATCCATAGTCTTCTAACATCTTGCTTGTGAATTAACGAAGATGCAACGTATCAGATCATGAGAGAGTTTGTTTTATAATGGAAAAACAGAAAAATGACGTTGCATTGAAGATGTTGCATTTCGATAGGCAATCTATCAAGCAAAGTAACATGGACGAAGAAGAATCTTCCATCTATTTCTAAGGATTTTTTCTACGGAATATGAAGGATGCAATGCTGACAAGAAGAAATGCAACCTATTATTTTTTCGAGAGGCAAATATTTATGAGTAAAGCCTTCTAATTTGTTCGATATAGAGATCGTTGACAAGAAATCAGTTTAGTAGGTCTTGCCAAGAGTAGCAATGGCTAGTAGCAGATTGATGGCAAAGGGTATTGTTGTCAGACAATTATTAAATATGTTTAATTGATTTAATGTTAAAATATAAGAGGGTTTGTTGACTCAATTCAAGATATAAGGTGGTTTTTTGAAAACACATATACGTTTGAGGTGGTTCTGTATGATTTAGCCTAAAAATAACATGCCTCGTCATATATATATATAGAGTAGGATTATATTTATAAATTTTTTATTTATGAAATTGCATTATATATTATGGGTAGTACAAATTACTTTAGTATATACTACCCATAATATATAGTAGTATGCATTACTCGTAGTATATAATATAATTTGAAAAAATTTATAAATAAAAAATTTATAAATATAACATATCCAATACATATATATTGCAAATATATTACCACCCTTTTAAATTTTCTATTAAAGTCTGCTGACTATGTGCATGCAATGGGCTTTGAGTCATAGGCCCACGTCATTTGCATAAACAGGAGCGATATTCTCCGGTGCAAAAAAAAATTAGTATGGTGGAGGTAAGAGAAAAGGTTGAAGAGAGAGAAGGGAGAAAAAAAATTAGTTTAGGTGTTAAACTTTTAACAGAAGGATTATAGCATGTTAAAAAATTTCCATAAACAGCCTGATTGTAACTTTTTAAAAAAAAAAAACAAAAAACTGTGGGATGTTTCTAATATAATTTTTAAGGGTTTTATATTTCTCATGCAACATGAGAATTGAATTCTCATGTTGTAGAGACAAAAAGCACGTGGGACCCATATGTTAGAAAAAATTATATGTAAGACCTACGTTGGCACAGAAATCGAAGGGTGTGTAGGAAAATTCAAATTCTCATGTTAAATGAGAATTATAAAACCCAATTTTTAAACATGAAATTATATAAACACATGTTTGATACATATTTTTCCCCCGTAAAACTCTCCTATAAAGTTATTTTCCTTTAAAATAAGTTATTTTAGACACGCTAAGTACCACCTAATTGTCAGATAGGATATGACATTTTGGGCATAATATTTTTTCAATGAATTCCCAATCCCACTAAAATCTTGTTTCTTTTTCTTTTTTAGTAAATGTTTCTTGTTTTTCTGTATGGCTGCACTATTTTTCTTTCATTTATTTCTTCAATTTTTGCTTCCTCCACTCACCTTAAGAACATTTAGCTTAGTTGCGTGCTTCAATATTGACGTAATTGACTTCATGATCATAAAAATTTGTAATATTATAGCTATTATCAAACTCGTTTAAAATCAATCTTTGTTGAATTGTTTCTTGATAAACAAAAATTGTTTGCCCAAAGAATATTAGGTTTGATTCTTAGAGAATCGTAATATTATAGGAGAATGAAAAAAATTCAAACCCGAAATCGGATTAACATAATTCATTAGGGCTTCAAACATGGATTGATAATTAAAAAAAAAACTTAGAACAATAAGTAATTACATATATCAATAACTGGCAATCAAACATGTAAATATAGAAAGTAGGATGACCAGGGAAAAACATAGAACATTTGGTGCATGGCATGATGATATATTTCTAGCATTAAGGAACTACATTATTGTTAAATGCGATTTAGTTTGAGAAGCTTGGTGATGGACATCCCAGTAACAATGAGAAGGAGAATGATGCCAATGAAAGAGGCAATTAGGGCAGAACCACCTCTGGTGCAGTAGGCTTCGAATTTGTCACAGATCTTATCCCACCTTGCATGTGAATTACCATTCCTTCCCAATTCTGACATGAATGTTGCTGCACCATCTCCTGCTGATGCCAGAGCCGTAGTCATCTTCACCCAAAAGTATATAGTCAAACAGTTTCCATATATTAGTAATTTAAATGAATAAGTGTGTATAAATTGGAGGTGATGGTCAACAACACTCAAAAAGGGTTCATTCAGTACCATGTCTAATACAGCAATCAGTCCAAGATGGAGTCCTTTGTTATGAAGTTGTGGTCTTAATATATCCACTGTTATCATCACCAAGTTATGGAGACTGGCAATTCCATTGGCTATCACAAAGAACCTGTCTCACCAAGTTATGAAGGTTAAAATGTCTATAACAAAGTAATATTGCGATGTTAAAAAAAGTTACAAAGAAAACAAAAACAGGGAAATTAAATCATAAGAACTAACACAAAAGCTGGAGTATGCTGAAACTTTGCTGTAAGAGTAACTGTTATTTGGTTGCTACCAATGGTGGCAACTACCAAGTTTTTGGTTTGTTTGTTGAGTGCCATAACAAGTGTAGCAGATGCAGTGGCCAAAAAAGCAACCACCCTGAGGGACAAAAGGACCCAATCCTTCTTTGGCTTGGTCTCACGGACAGCATTGAAACCAAGTTCTACTTTTTCTCCATTTGCTGAGGCCATTGTGCAAGTACTTACTATGCTTGGCGTTGATGCAAAAGGTGTCAAGAGAGGGCTGCTTTATTATAGACAGGACAAAGAAAAATTGATAAAACATATCATTTGGTAAGTCTAAGAAGCCAAATATGGTTTCTATCAGTAAATTCCTCTGGTTGTCTAACCATCTAAAATTTCGGTTGTTATTTGGTGAGAAATATGTCAGAACGTGCAAATCTCAATCATTTTTTTTTAATACATTAAGCAAAACTACAAGATACAGGAGTTGAATCTAAACGATCATGAAGGTCTTCCCCTAAAATTGTATCTTGTCAGTTATTTATTTCATATAACCTCAAATTATCTTGAAGGCCTTCACATTTACGTCACGTTATTCATGAAGGCCCTCATAGTGTCACATATATATTCGGTACATTGCTTGCTGATGTCATCTTACTTACGCATATTCTATGTTATTCTTTTTTAAAATTACATTTTTCTTTGTTTGAGTGATATTTAGAATGTCCAATGAGTAGAATTGATTTCGAAACAAGTGAATTTTTTTTATACTTTTATTAAGTAAAATTGTATTTAAATATAAAGCTTATTAAATTTTAAAAAAATCTACGGATATTTATATTTTTAAAAGTAATTTTATTTGACCACGCAAAAAAATTAATTCTTATATGTTTACTTTTAAAATATCATTATTAAACATAAATCAAATTTATAGCATAATTTATTTTAAATTAACTCTACCAAAATTTAAAACAATTATATCTATATTTAATATCTACCAAATAAATACTTATCATGACTCTGAAAAATATATACACAATTAATATTATTATGGTTATTTGTCAATAACAATACACACATATATATATATATGGAAAAAATGTGTAGAGTTCGCTTTTTCAATAGTCAATGTAGATAACTTATCTACATTGAGCCCAAAACAACGTCGTTTTAAGGCAGAAATCAAGGTATTTTTGTAATTAAAATTTATTTCAGAGTTATAATAGTCATCTTCATTTTAATTTTTTAATTTTTCAACCCAAAATGACGTCATTTTGAGAGCGAATATAAATAACTTATCTACATTCACTTTAGAAACATTAAATTCCATTTTAAAATATATAAAATTGTGTTATTCTAAGTGAAAGAAAGAGATAAATAAAAGAGGAGAGAGAATGAAAAAAAAATAAAGATTAATCTGTTATTTTATTTTATGCTAAACAATTACATTAATGGAAAGATAATCTATATTAATGTTAGGAATAGACCAAATATGAAGAACAATTAATATTATATTACATGTTATAGTCTCTGGTACTCGGACACGACATTTTTCAAAAAAATTGCACGTCGGACACGTATCCGACATGTTTCGACACGCGTTTAATATGCGGTCAATATTTTGAGACACGTGGTCAACTCTTTGACACGTTTTTTTGAAACGCAGTCAACTTTTTTCGACACGTGATCAACGCTCCGACACGTTTTTTTTATAGTCTTAATTTTATTTTATTAACTAAAAATAAAAAAATTATTTATAAATCAATTTTTTTCTGTTATGAAATATAACATGAAAAATTAACAAGGTACGAATTTTTTTTTTTATATTTATATTATGAAATTTGAATATTTGATTAGTTATATTATATAAGTTATTATGAACTGTTATATGTATTAAATATAAATTATATTATATATATTAAAAATATTATTTAATATCAAAACGTGTCCCAACGTGTCCAAATATGCCATTTTTTAGAATTAATGTGTCGGCGTGTTGTATCTCGTATTAGTGTTCGTGCATCATAGGTTATAGTTAATTTTTTTTTTTTACTATTTGTTATTACCAAATTTTAATTGTTGTTTTTCGTCAGTCTATCGGTTATAATTTATTAGAATTAATAATTAATTAATAAATGTGACTCAATAAATTATAACCGTTAGATTGACGAAAATCAACTGTTAAGATTTGACAGTAACAAGTAGTAAAAATAATAATAATAACTATATATAAACTTTTCCATAATAATATATATATTAATTGTTCTTTATATTTGGTCTATTCCTAACATTAATATAGATTCTCTTTCCGTTAATGTAATTGTTTAGCGTAAAACAAAATAACAGATTAATCTGAAGGGGAAATGTCGCCCAAGAAATTTCCGAAACTGTGTGTGGGATGTGGAAGATGATTGGGAAATATTGGTAGCAGAAATCGCAAGGGAGAAGAGAGGGTTGGGTTGGTTTTCATTTTCTCTTTCCTTTCCGTGAAAGAGAATATAAATCCCAATCCTCATCGAAACGTTTTATAATCTCGTCTCGTCTCATCTCATCTCATCTCGCTCAATTCAACCCATCTTGAGATTTCTTCATTCATCCACACCCCTTTTCCATTCTTTCTCCAAATTCACCCTCAATCCTTTATTTATTTCTTTATTTTCCCCCCTCCCATTCTCGCTTTCTCCGAAGAAGGAAAAAAAAAAAAAAAATTTCTTCTTCTTGTTTTTGTTTTTGGATTGGTTGTCTGAATCGGTTATTGCGTCAGGTGCCACAGGTATTGTCAGATCCTCTGCTATGTCCTTTTTCTTTTCTTTTTTTCGGTTTTGGGGTTTCTGGGTGAGCTTTATTTGGTTTACAGAACATATTTATCTCTAGTTTTGGTTGTGTTTTGGCCATGTTTCTCTGCAGCACAGGTAATAAATGTTTTTTATTTGGATCAGGCATTGTGATGCCCAGTTCCTGTTCTACTGACCACACAAAGTAGTGGGAATTCTGCTACAAATCTGAGTTCTGTGTGAGACACACTCTTGTGCTTCACAAGGATTAAGAGTTTCATGCAAATTAAACTTCTTTTAGTTAATATTAGATTATTTACTCAATTGCATGCGACGCATAGGTGGTTGCGTGGTTTCTTTTTGGTTGAGTTTCCTGGTGAATGATTACCTTTTAACTTTGCAGCTATGCAGAGCCAACTTGTGTGTAATGGTTGTAGGAGCATTCTGCTTTACCCTAGAGGGGCAACCAATGTTTGTTGTGCATTGTGCAACACAATTACCTCCGTTCCCCCACCTGGTAAGGTCATTGGCTGTTGCTGCCTGTTATTGAAGTTTTAAGATTAGAGAAAGCTATGTGCTATACATTGGTGTGTTTCCCGTCTTTCTCTACTCAGCATACGAAAATTATTCAATTCAGAATGAACGTGGGAGTTTAAGCTAGAAACAGACTATGCAGCTTGCTGGATTAAATATTTATATGTAGCCAGACTTTAACTGGATGAATTTACCTTACTAATGTCCCTGCAGGGATGGAAATGGCTCAAATTTATTGTGGAGGCTGTAGGATAATGCTAATGTACACACGTGGAGCTACAAGTGTGAGATGTTCCTGCTGTCACACTGTAAACCTTGTTTCGGGTACTATATATTTGTTGCCAGACATGTGAGGCTTACTGGTTTAGTCTTGATTTTGGTGGACTATGTTGATTTGCTAGATAATATAAATTTTCTTTTTTGTAATTATAGTGATGTTTTGTTGGTCATTGAATATGGTTGATCTTGAATAGTCTTACCAAATACTAGCGTAGGGGTCAGCAGGGAGTGTTTACTCATTTCTTAAGTATCCTTGTTGTGTATGCTTTGTGCCGTGTTTTGATAAGAGGTTGTGAGAGCGGGTGTTGTAAATGACAAAGACCGACATCATGTATATCTCTTTGTAATTCCTTTCGTTCAATTATATAATAGAGCCTCCACTATCTAGTTGAAACACATGGATTTTAGTATATGCTTCTTGGGATCTGATATTTAACATGGTATCTAGAGCCTAATGAGAGGAACCCTAATCCGTGCTTTTTTGTTGGACCCACTGTCCATTGAGTACATTTTTTTTGGAAAATGTCACGTCCGTCAGTTTCCGAACTCAGTTCTTCTCCGATAACCATCCAAGAGCCTTTGACCAATGTTGACCAGCATTGACCGACGACTTTTTCGGCGAAGCACCCACCGTTTTGATTGTCGTGAGCAAGAGGTCCTGTCTGTCTAGGTCCCCTATTGCCATCTCCTACCGGTTCTAGTTCTATTTCGACTTCATTGAAGGTTGTACAAAGACTTTCTCCTGTTCATGTGCATGTATGTCTCTCCATTGTGACCAATGGCCAGATCTGGTCCCTTTGCCACTCTTGGGTTGTCTTGGCACTTGTGACTTCTAGTACCATTGCTTCTGTCGCACACACATATAATAATTTTATTTTTTTGACTCAAACTCCATCTCTTGTTCATTGGGTTCTTGATTCCGGTGCTTTTGATCACATCTTCGGATATAATTCTTTATTCTCTTCTCTTCCTACCTTTGGTTACTTGCCTAATCACTATGGCTAACGGTTTGTAAAGTATAGTCACTTGGGGTTGGAACTGTCCATCTATTGATAATATGCTTTATGTCCCTGGTTCCTCCTTAATCTTACATCCATTAGTCGATTAACTCGTTCTCTTGACTGTCTTATCTCTTTTACCTAAGACTGTTGTTTTACAGGATTGGAGTTCGGGGAGGACAATTAATCTTTCCAACTGTTCTCGTGCTTGCTCTGTCCTAGATTCTTCTATCATTATCGACGCTCTACTTGGTCATCCCAATTTTGGTAAGCTCCAAAAGATGGTGTCTCATCTATCAATTTTTTCTACTTTGCAGTGTGAGTCATGTCAATTAGGGAAACATATTTGTATCTCCTTTCTCGAAAAAGTCAATTATCGTGCTTCATCTCCTTTTAGTTTGGTTCGTTCTGATGTTTAGGGCCTAAGTTGTATTGAGTCCACAATCGTCATGCTCAGTCCCACAAGTGTGTTTTTCTTGATTATACTCGGTCCCAGAAGGGTTACAGGTGTTGCTTTCCCACTCTTCGCCATTATTTAATCTTGGCTGATGTTATCTTCCTTGAGTCAGATTCTATTATCTTATTGCTTATTCTGATCTCGGTTGAGTTCACATCACCACCACCACCGCAATTTCCTCCTGCCCAGAATGACCCAGTTTCTATCTGCCCTTTACAGATCTATCACTGTTGACCACCTCCATTACCTGAGATTGCACCTACTTCTGTTGGTGTTGTGGTTCCTATGAAACCTACTCTTGTTGGTGCTGAGGTTCCTATGAACTTTACTCCGGCACCTTCTCCGCCTCTAGTTTCGGCCTTGCGTCCTGATAGTGGCCTACCCATTGTTTTCTGCAAAGGTATTTGCACTCCTCGTAATCCCTTAGCATATTATGTTACTTTGAGTTATCATCGACTTTCATCTTTGCATTTTTCTCTTCTTTCTTCCTTGTCTTCTGTGACTATTCCCAAGAGTGTAGGTAAGGCTTTATCTTATTTGGATGGCAACAGGCTATGATTGATGTGATGTGTTCCCTTCAGAGTAGTGGTACTTGGGATCTGGTTCCTCTTCTCTTTGGAAAGTTTGTTGTTGGTTGCAAATGGATATATACTGTCAAAGTTGGTCCTAATGGTCAAGGGGACCATCTCAAGGCTCCATCGGTGACAAAATGATACACTCAAGTGTTTGGCCTAAATTACGGAGAAATGTTCTCCCTAGTTGCAAAAGAGGCTTTTGTTCACCTCTTTCTTGCTATGATTGCTATCCATCATTGACCTTTTATTAACTAGATGTCAAGAATGCTTTCCTCCATACTGATTTTGCGGAAGAAGTTTTTATGGAACAACCTCTTGAGTTTGTTGCTCAGGGGGTATCTAGCCTAGTTTGTCATCTCGGCTAGTCCTAATATGGTCTCAAGCAATCTTTGCGGGTTTGGTTTTGAAGATCTAGCACGGTTGTGTAGCAGTTTGACATGATTCAAAGTAGGTTTATCACTCAATATTTTGTCGCCTTTTTTTTTCTAGATCCATTTATTTGGTGTTGTGTTTTGATTACATTATCATTTCTAGTGATGATCATCATGACATTACTTAGGTAAAACATCTCATTTTTAGACAAAGGACCTTGGAAGACTCCAATATTTCTTAGGGGTAGAGGTGGCCCAATCCAAAGATGGTATTGTGATATTCTAGAGGAAATATACAATGGACATTCTTGAGGAGATAACTTTGTTGAATGCTGAGTCAATCAACACCCTTATGTATTCAAATGTCAAGCTTTTGCCAAATCAAGGGGAGTCATTTTCAAATACAAAAAGGTATAGAAGATTAGTTGATAAGCTGAACTACTTCATAGTCACTCAACCAGACATCTCATTTGCGGTCAGTGCGGTAAGTTGATTCCTGAATTCTCCTTGTAAAGATAATTGGAATGCAGTGACTCGTATTCTCAAATGTATCAAGACAACTTCAGGAAAAAGGTCTCTATGGAGACAAAGGTCATCCCAATTTGTTAGATATTCAGATGCTGATTAGTTATTGTGTATTTGTTGGAGATAACTTAATTTCTTGGGGAAACAAAAAACATAGGGCCTATTTGGATGGGCTTTTAAAAAAAGGACTTTTTATTTTAGAATGAATTTTTTTAAAAGTTAAAGTTATTTTACGTTTGAATGAACCACATAAAAAATACTTTTAAATAAGAACGTTATTTGGATGTTAAAATCAATAAATACTTTTCATATGTAAAATTACGGGATATGTGATGGCAGTGGTGATAGTGGAGTGGAGTGGGTTGAGATAAAATTGGATTTTTAAAAAAATATTTAACTTTTAATTTTTACTTTTTTTAGAAGCAAGAAATCCTGACTTCTAAAAAAAATATTATTTTAACTTTTATTTTAAATTGTGCTTTTTTTAAAAGTTCTTATCCAAACAAATAAAATTCTTCAAAATGTCGTCTTCTTTTTTTTTTTGTTGAAAAAAAGCAACTTCTCTAAGAAAAAAAGCTCATCCAAACGCACACATAGTGTAGTTGCCAGATTGAGTACTGAAGTAGAGTATCATTTCATGGTCGCAACCACTTGTGAACTTATTTGGTTAAAACAAATGCTTTAAGGAGCTCAAGTTTGGAGACACTAGACCAGCAACCCATTTTTCATAATCAAGCTGCTTTGCATATTACTTCCAATCTAGCCTTTCATGAAAGGACTAAGCATATTGAGATAGATTGTCATTTCGTCAGAGAAAAGGTCCTCTTGGGAGATATCGTCACCAATTTTGCTAACTCAAATGATCAACTAGCTAATGTATTCACTAAGTCTTTGAGAAGTCGTCAAATAGATTACATTATGTAATAAGCTTGGTGCATATAATTTATATGCTTCGGCTTGAGGAGGGGTGTTGTAAATAGGGTAGTATAGGGTAGTTTAGTGGAAGGGATGGAGTCCCACATCATGTATATCTCTTTGTAATTCGTTTTCATTTAGTTTTATAATAGAGTCTCTATTGTGTAGTTGAAACACACATATTTCAGTATATGTCTCTTAGGTCCTGATATGTAACAACATGGGGCAAGTAAAAGGTTTGGTTGTTGGACCTGAGGGCATGGAGGTTTCTCGCCTGCAGTTCAGAGATGATACTGTTCTTTTGTACACATGGTTCGGAACAACTTTTAAATGTGTTTGTTTTTACTTTCCTTCTGGTTTGTAGGTAATTTATGCAGTTTTGCTTTAATTTCTTCTGTCTTCTTCACCTCATGTCATTCCAACAATGACTTCCTTGCTATATTGTAATCACGTATGCATATTATTCAATTAGTTGTCGTTTACTAACTTTCCTTTTAATTGGCTTTGTGTATGCATTAAAAAGCATCCAATCAAGTTGCCCATGTCCATTGTGGGAACTGCCGGACAACACTCGTGTATCCATATGGAGCTCCATCAGTCAAATGTGCTGTTTGTCACTATATTACTAACGTCAGTGTAAGTTTTACATTGATAGAATAATGTTAATCTGGGCATTGATTACTTTGTTCTTAACAAATGCTTCAAAAGTTTTAAAATAAAATTCAAGTGATTTTTCTGTCCCATGATCTGGGCTTTATTTAATGTAAATTTAGGTGCCTTCCTGCAGTCATGTTATGGTTAACTTGTTGCATTTAAATAGTTGATTTCTTTGACATGTTTTCCTTGGCTTCTAGTTTTCCATCACTCAGAATCCTGTTGAGACGAGTTAAATGCTAGCTAGAAATTTACACTCTTTCCTGCCTTTTGCTTCTCTTTCCTGTCTTTTGTAGATGACCAACGGAAGGCTTCCAATTCCTGTTCATAGACCTAATGGGACAACCAACTCTGGAACTACTTCAACAGTATGCTTTTATTTTTTAATCTTTAATGGTTATTCATAGTAAGGATGTATTGGCGGTTTTCTGTTCTGATATCTAATGAATATGCATATGATTCTATTTCACTACCTGCAGTCAGTGCCCCCATCACAGAGCCAAACAGTGGTGGTAGAAAATCCAATGTCTGTTGATTCAAGTGGGAAACTGGTAATTATTATTGTTTTTCATTTATAGCTTAGATATGTATTTTTCTACTGCATTTGACTAATTCTCCTGTTGGCTTTCGAGCATAGCAATATTTACTTAAAAAGGAATTTGACATGTCACAGGTGAGCAATGTTGTTGTTGGCGTTACAACAGATAAGAAATAATGCTCTCACATATAAAAGATACATTGTATGAGGCATTATCACAGTTTCTGTCACAGGAAGATATTGTTTGTGTATATGAATATATAATATTGCTGCCTGCAATGGTTTAATTGAAATGAATCCTTTTCCAATACTCGGGTTAGATGGATATCGTTGTGTATGTATATGAAGAGGACAGGCCGTGAAAAGCGCATTAAGCGTGTTGTTTTGTGTGATTGCCAGAGCCCATTTTGTTGTTTCCTTTGTATCTATACCCAAATCAATTAGTTCATTCAGATTTTATCTTGACTTGCAAGTTTTTCATGACTTGTTATACTTGTGCTTTTCTTGATGATTTGATATGTTAGTAGGATTCCTTGATATTTGATAATGATGGTATACAAGCATTACGTGATAAGTGACTCATACTATAGATTTAATTTTTGGTTATTGTTTCTCCTGTGACTTGGGTTTGGGGATTTTTTTTTTTTTTTTTTTGGAGAATTTCTTTTGATATATTTTTTAACTCAACCCTAAAATGATGTTATTTTGGGATGAAAGGAGAAACAATAAATTCTTTTTTTTTTTAATCTGTCATATAAAAAGTAGGGATAATAGCCAGGCTGCTTTGAAAGTTTGGTATAAAACCAAATCATTTACCTCATAAATATATGTTTAGGTCATAGTAGTTAATTGCGCCACAATAGCATCGTGAGCTGCGCCATATGGGCGTTGTGGTGTCTCACCGCAAAAAGTCGCGCCGCACAGTACCGGAACGTAATAGCGGCCATTGAACTTGCATTTGTGGCCATATTGCTGTCATAAAACAAAATGTCAATTTTGTCCTAAATTTAAATGTGTAACATAAAATATTTAAGAGTTTTTTAGTCTATTCACGTCTCTCTGTCATTTTTGTTGTCTTTACCTTTAAAAAATATTTTTTTTTATCATTATTTCTATCATATATTTATTTCGCTATTTTTGCAACTGCAACCCGCTATAACGCTATAGTATTTTTTGGAGTTGGCCGCTACATGCCGTAATCTACATTTGATAACCATGGTTCGGTAAATGGGGAAAAGAAAGCTGTTGAACATTTGCCGTTAATTGTGCTCATTTCCTACCCATTGGGCATTGGCTGCATTGTATAAATACACGCTTATGCTGTATCTTTTTAGAAAGTCTTTTTAATTTCTTAAAATATATTAAGTAAAAATTTAAAAGCATTTAATAATTTTCTTATGTAGGCATTGTTTATCAGACATTTAGATCATTAATTGGTTTCTAAAGCTGTGTGGTTGAGCATCTCTACTTACTGCACTTCAACATGGGTTAATATTCTGAAACCACTTACACATTTATTTTTAATTTCGTTAGCTTGATCAAAATTGATTAACAATGCAGATTATTTCCGACCTCTAAGCCAAGTCACAGATTTTTTTACCATAACCCCGTGCAATCCACCAAAACAGCATATCCAAATAATTCGCACGTGTTTTACAGTTATTTTTACTAATATAAGAGCCCCGAAAGAAGTCTAATTTGTACAACTAAATAAAATATTATTCCATCAAAGTATATAATATAAAACTATAAGAAAGTAAATTTAAACAATTGTGCATGTAGCCTATCTTTGAAATAATCAAATGAGGCCTTATGTTTTGAAATGTTCAAAGTTGGGGCAGTTCATGGAGTAGGGAGAAAGATCCAACAAGGATTTCTTGACAATCAATTTAACATATATATATATATATACATATATATATATAGGTAGGATCCTTTGACATCGGTGTCAAATTTCAATTTTGACACCTCATCTGAGAGCCGTTAGATCAAAAAAGATCAATGGTGTCACATGCTTGCAAATCAGAGTCGTTGATCTTTTTTGATCTAACGGCTTTCAGATGAGGTGTCAAAATTAAAATTTGACACCGGTGTCAAAGGATCCTACCTCATTCATATATATATATATATGGTAAAATCATTTCTGCAGCCGCTTTACGTACAACAGCGACATGTGTATGGTTATGATTCCCCACATTTAATGTTTTCATCCTTTGAATGGTTATGATTCCCCGCATTTAATGCTTTTAAGTATATATATGGCAAGTATTTGATTGTTGCACGTACAACAGCTGCAGAAATGTAAAAACACACACACACACACACACACACACACACACACACACACATATATATATATATATATTAAATTAAGAAGAAGGTTATACTTACAACATATTTTCGTTTACAACCTCTTACAATCATATCTTAGCCGTTGATTTCTGTCAGTCAACGGTTATCATTTATTACGAGTTAATAATTAATTAATGAGTTTTAGTTGCGGATATAATAACCGTTGATTGACGGAAAGCAACGATTAAGATATAGTTATAAGAAGTTGCAAACGAAAATAGGTTGTAAGTATAACCTTCTTCTTAAATTAAAGGGAAAAGACGTTTGTTCTTTTAAAGGATATAGCTTTGTGTCATTTTAGATCAAAATTATTAATTTTCGTCAATCAACGGTTATAATTTATTGGGCCAAACTTATTAATTAATTAGTAATTTACAATAAATTATAACCGTTGATTGACGAAAATTAACGGTTAAGATTTAAAATGACACATTATTATATCCTTTAAAAAAAAAATATTTTCCCTAAATTAAAATAAATTTTTTGAGTTGATTTAGCAATAAGAAAACTAACAACCGTTTACTTGATCACTACTATAACCAGCAAGTAGTAAGCCCACATCATTTTCACCCTTTCTTTCTCCGTCACCAAAATTATATTTAATTTTAAAATACTGTATAGTCATTTTTTATTTTTTGTTAACAACCAAAGTCCTCTGTCAATTATTTTTAAAGTAAAATACATTTTTTGAGTTGTCATAAGAATCTGACGGTCATTTCCCTGACTGCTATTACCAGTAACAAGTAAGCCCACGTTATTGGAATGCAGAAAAGAAAAGAAAAAGAAAATAATCAAGATTTTTTTTTTTTTTTTAAATAATAATCAAGATTTTTAAAAAATAAATAATAGTATTTGCGCATTATTTTTAATATTGTTTTTATATTTTTAAAATGATAAAATAAAAATAAAATATACGCTCTATAACATGCATTTTGTTTTTGTTTTTTTTAATCTTCTAAACAAATAAAGTGTAAGGACAGTATACTAATATTTATGGCAAATAACATTTAACAAAATCAGAATAAACAAAGTAGCAGGTAAAGCCCCCAGTTGAGAGACGCTTGACTACACACTAGAATGTACACGAGTTATATTTTGCCTATAAAAAGGTAACACTTGAGATGAACAAGCAAGCACAAAAACATAACCAGAATCAACCCCAAAAAAGAAAAGAAAGATCAAAATTCACAAGAAGCAAATATGGTGGGTACCAATTTCACTGAGGATCACATGTCTAAAACAGATGATGGTGCTTGCCTCTCTGCAATGTTACTCACTACTAATCTGGTATATCCTGCGGTTCTCAATGCTGCTATTGACCTCAACTTGTTTGAGATCATAGCTAAGGGAACCCCACATGGTGCCTTCATGTCACCCTTTGAAATTGCTTCTAAGCTTCCAACCCAACACTCTGACTTGCCTAATAGGCTTGATCGCATGCTGCGTTTGCTTGCCAGTTACTCTCTTCTTACTTGTTCAACTCGCACCACTGAGTATGGTACCACTGAGAGAGTTTATGGGCTCTCACAAGTTGGAAAATACTTAGTCTCTGATGAAAGTAGGGGCTACTTAGCTTCATTCACAACATTTCTTTGTTATCCAGCGCTGTTACAGGTTTGGTAAGTAGTCATTTTAGTTCCTGCACACATAATCTGGAGGATATATATTGCTAGGCGAATTTATACTGTATAAGAATAATAAGTGTTACACTTAATTTTAGTAGCTGATCTCAAATACTTCTAAGAATTTATATGACTAAATAAATTAAAGACATTAGTTATAAGTGAGATCAACGCAAATAGTAATAAGTACAACACTTATATATATGGATATAAGTTGATTCTTCCATGTTGCTTTTAAAAGAAATAATCTTATTTTTTGCTCCCATGGTCTTTTTTTCTTTCTAGGCTGAACTTCAAGGAAGCGGTGGTTGATGCAGACATTGACCTATTCAAGAAACTTCATGGAATAACCAAGTACCAGTACATGGAAAAGGACCCAACAATGAACCACATTTTTAACAAGTCAATGGCCGATGTGTGTGCAACAGAGATGAAAAGAATGCTCGAAATATATGCTGGATTTGAGGGAATATCAACATTGGTTGACGTAGGAGGAGGAAATGGACAAAATCTCAAAATGATAATCTCAAAGTACCCTTTAATAAAGGGAATTAATTTTGATCTGCCCCAAGTGATTGAACATGCACCACTAATTCCAGGTAGCCTTACTTAATGTTATATATATTTTTCGATACCAACCCTAATTATCTTTTTAAGATAAGTATGATTTTTTGGATATCCTCGTAAGCTTCAACGGTTCAGCCCTTTAAGCCGACTATATGAGACTAATCCTGAGTTTGGGACAGGTTAGGAATTAAAATTTTATGCCTCTCCTAAAAGTAGTATTGGTGGAGATCGAATCGAGATCCTTCCACCACCTACTTAACTCCCATGTACCAAAAAAAATAAAAAAATTACCACCATTTGATTATATTAATACATACATATCAGATTATACAAGGGTACTTCTACTTTAGTTTTTTAATTGGTCAAAATTATTAATGAGCAAAATACCAAATTTTGATTAGGGATTGAGCACGTTGGAGGAGATATGTTTGCAAGTGTTCCACAGGGTGACGCCATAATACTAAAGGTTAGTCATTAGTATAATAACACCCTTATATCTAATCTCATTATTATGGTGCTAAACACAATTTTTTTTCTACATTATTGTAGGCTGTATGCCACAATTGGTCAGATGAAAAATGCGTAGAATTTTTAAGCAATTGTCACAAAGCGTTGTCACCAAATGGGAAGGTGATTGTTGTGGAGTTTATATTGCCAGAAGAACCAGAACCAACTGAAGAATCCAAACTTGTTTCTATTCTCGACAACCTCATGTTTATCACAGTTGGTGGAAGGGAAAGGACTCAGAAACAATATGAGAATTTGAGCAAGCTCTCTGGATTTTCTAAATTTCGTGTTGCTTGTCGTGCTTTCAATGCTTTGGGAGTGATGGAATTTTATAAATAAGTAAAGTATTAAGAGAAAAGCAGCAATAAAGCCCTTTATGCATGGGCTTGCTTCATGTCAAGGCTACAAGTTACTGAACTTTCTGTCTTGATCGACGTGATGTTATGTTTATGTAATATTAATTTGGGTTTTTGATTTTTGTTTACGTGCGTGTGGTTAAAAAAATTTAATTTCGGTTTTGATATGTTGTATTTATCTTTAATAAATAAGTTGAAGTTATTTATCCTTTTTTTATATTTCAATTTCTTCAATATTATGCTTGTAATATATATCAAATGGTATAACCTGACCCAATTTTGAATCATAATGATTGATAGAGATCTAATGCCTTCAATTGCTAGCATGGCTAGAAAACATACAAAAGAAAGGTAATTGTAGATATTGTATAGCGCAAATTCAACTAAAAAATCTAGATTAATGTTTTTGTAATATATATATTTTAGTATATTCATTCCTTCACTCAAAAATTTATTAGATTTAAAGGATAGATACCCATGTATACTAAGTAACTCCATAATATTCCTGCTAAATAATTTCACGATATAGAGATTCTGATACTACAATTCAATTTAAAATTTAAACTGTTAGACGAAATTATATCAATAATTTTATAATATATTTTACTAATAGCTATCTAAACAAATTTAGCGGTAAAATTCCCTGGACTTTTTTATTCTTTGAAATGCATGCAATTGTTCCCCCACCGTGGTTTTCATCCAATCTTCCTACTTTGGGATCCTAGCTTGGTCTCCGGTGAACTCCTCTCCACAAGGCTTATTTCTTTTCGTACTTCACGGTAGATGATCTGCCTCCTCCGCCGCCTCATCACTCGATCATTGCCCTTCTCGAGTATTGAGTACTTTTATTTAAGTTAATATTTGTTTAAGTTTTTTATGATCATCTTAATTGAATTTTCTGACTTGCTCGATGAGGAAAATTTAATCAATTCTTAAAGCATAACTAAGTCTTTGCTGGTTCGATTTCGTACCTGCTCGATTGTAGTCATTGTACTAATGTATGATTCTTGTACTTGCAATCTTTAACGTTTGAAAAAATCATATAAAATAGAAGAATTCATTAACTTAATATTTTAACTTTTAGGGTCGAGAAATAGTGTAAGATCAACTGATATAGTTTCTTCCACTTTTTGGTAACTAAAGAAAAATGAATTTCATGTCCTTAGTATGTTCTCTCGACATTTTTTTTGTTCTTTACGATTTGAAACAGACTCTGAAGTGAAGAGGAAAAAGAAGTTTTATTGAACTTCCAACATCAAACGTAACATTCAAATCTTAAAGATTTGGACAGGTTCCAGTTGAGCTAAAGCTACATTTGCCACATACACAAATAATTTAGCATCACAAATTTCGATAGCATTTTCGGTACCACCATCGTACTGATCACCGGGTGCAGTGGTGGTATTTACACTATGTATTTTCTGGGAATACATAGTTAAAACTATTTTAATTGATACGACGCACTCCTATTAACCGGTCCTACATACCACGGTTGTACTAAAAATATTTCCCACAAATTCATATACACATCCACAAACACGCAGAAAGAAAATTATTTGTAGAAGCCTAATAGGCAGCTATATGCTAACCTTTTACCTGTCACTTGTAAACTACTGGTGTAGTAGACACTTGCACTTCTCCTCCGTCTTCCACCTTGTACAACTGCTTGTCAACCTCCTCGGTACAATTTTTGTTCTCAAACTCTTTTGCTGTGTCATAGGAAGCATGTAACCCCAAGAAAATATAGTATACCAAAAGAAACCCTGACCATACCCCAAACCTGATAAATGATTTTTTATCAATAGACCCAAGAAGGAATATGTTAATAGCAATAGATAAAGAAGGAAGCCATGGAACTAAAGGAACCCCCCAAAGTTTTGGCTTTTTTGCCTGTGGAACACCAAGCCAAAGACCTACAGTACCTAAAAGCCACAACGGTGCAGCTATTATATACCCAATCCAACCATCACTGCTAGCCCAATAAGCAGAAATGCCACATGAAGAGCCAAGAATTAGAACAAGGCACACAATGAGCTTAACTTGATTCCCTTTTGTAGTTACCCCACTTGAATAGTAGCGGCGCACAAGAAGCGCTACTGCCACAAGCATAAAGATAAAGAGAGTGGAAATTGACAAGAGGTTGGAGAGAATACTAAGATCTGTGAAGAAAGCAATGACAGATGTAGCTACAAGCATTGCTATTGTAGCATTGACAGGTGTCCCAGTCCTTTCATCAACAAGAGCAAACCAAGGAGGCATCATGTGTGTACGTGCAATGTGAGTTAGATAACGAGCTTGACCCACTGCACTCACCAACAACACTGTTGTCATTCCCTTCAACGCTCCCAATGCTACAATGTACTTAGCCCAATTCCATCCTACAGCACCAAACGCAACCGAAAAGGGTGCATTTTCATCAATATCTTTGTAGTTCTGCATAAGGCATAGTGTCACTGCTAGTAAGCAATAAGCCAACGTGGTAATCACCATTGAACCAACAAGACCAATAGGAATGTCCCTTGCAGGGTTCTTAGTCTCCTCAGCCATAGTTGACACTGCATCAAACCCTACGTAAGCAAAGAAAAGAACAGCTGAAGCTTTGAACACACCACGAACTCCGAAAGGAACAAATGTAGTGTAGTTTTCGGTCTTGGCTTTGGTGAGGCCAGCAATTATAATGAAGACAATGACAACCAAGTGGAACACTGAGGCAATGTAATTGAATCTGGAAGAGCCTTTGGTGCTGTACACTGCAAGGATGGTTATCACTATGAGGATTCCAATGGCTATAGGGTCAAGATGGTTATAGTCGGAGCTCATTTTATGGACTATTATTCGAAAGTCATCGGGGTTTTTGTTGCATAGGGTGGCAAAATAAGAGGTCCATGACCGAGCTACGGCGGCGCCGCCTATTACATACTCAAGGAGGATGTTTCCGGCAGCTATGAAGGCCACAAAGTCTCCCAACTCCACTCTTAAGTAAGCAAATGAACCGCCTATAGAAGAGAGGGAAGAAAATTATATATATGTACATACCTATATCAAAATCAAGCGAATTAGTAACATGATGAGATATGGGCAAGTCAACTTTGAATTGATAAATGTATCTTTCTACAGAGAATTACAATTATTATTTTTGTTATGATTGACTTAATTTTTTATTTTTCAAAAAAAATAATAAATGTCATTATTATTTTAAATTTTAAGATTATTTTTTTAATTTTATATGTCTATATATATATATATATATATATATATATATATATATATATAGATTCTAATTTTAGATTTTATAATTATATTTTTAAAATTAATTATACATATTTTATGTATAATTTCAAGTTTTTTTAAATATTTTTAATTTTAACTAAATTTGAAAATTCTTATTTAACACATTTTATTTATGTTCTCTTACGAATAAGCACGATTCTAATGTCGACATATTCTTATAAACGCATGGGATATCTTTATATTATGTCACATTCATTATGATTAAATAATGCATTACGTACTCTGGATTTCAACCGAAAATGGTACTAGTTATTAAAATTGGCAAAGGATAGGGACACAAGGGCAATAATGTAATATGACTCTTTCGTTTATGACGGTTGTATGTCATTTATGACATTAGTTTCTTTGAGCCAGAGTATTTGACTGCAAACGTTATAGTTGACCCGTCTAGTTGTCTGTTCTCTTTTATTGTTTTTTAGACGTTATTTTCTTTGGGCCTATCCGCCTAACATATAATATAACATCACTAGTGTGTATTTAAAAATTTAAATTAAAAACTTCTCTCCCTCATATTTTATTCTTTTGTGTCTTTTAAAAGAATATAAATATTTATCTTTTAAAATACACACATTTTTCTCAACATGACTATATTCACCACAAAAGTAAAAGGAAAATACTACTCTCATTTTATATGAGGTAGTTATCTCCTTTTCTCTCACTTCGAATATCGTATCCCTTTTTTTTTTTCTTTTTTGCTTTTAAATAGCGGGTCCTACTTAAATTCTCTCTGTAACATGAGAGAACTACTCTCATATCACATGAGAGTAATATTACCCAAAGTAAAATGAGTCCAGATATTTGTTTTGCTTGCGCTGTGTTACAATAGGAATGTATTACATCTATTTTCAATGCATTTTGATCAAATACAGATAAATATACAAATACAGTCAGTACTTTATCTATAATATAATATAAAAAATTATTCTACTAAAATTGTCAGGTGGAGTTTTTCCTAAGTTTTTATTTTTCAATTCTTGTCAGTGATGGATTTTTTTTTTCTTTTCACTTGTCTTTATTTATTCGGATGTTAGTTAATTTTAATATGAAACATCTGAACTTCTGACATATGTCTTTATGTACCTTTTCCATTTTCTTTCTCAATTTCTTAATCATGAAATGATGTTTGTGAGCCCTTTACATATTATTTTGCCCTTCAATTCTTATCAGATTTTTTTTTTTTTACTGGGTATCTGAGAATTAAGTTTTATATGGTTTGGTTAAGCAATTTGATTTCTACCAAATGTCCATTTGAAAGTGAGTACAACACAATATAACATATAAATGGTTCAACTACATAATATTGTTTCAAAATTTTCATTTTTTTAACTCTTAAGAGTTATTAATTGACGTTTGTTTATTTTTTTTCTTGTCACTTATATTTGTCTTTATTTATTTGTTTGTAAGTTAATTTCAATATAAAATGTCTAAATGTTTTGCATCTTCCATCTTCTTTTTCAAAAAACAATTATGAGATGAGCGACACGCCCTTTGCATATTATTTTTCTCCGTTACTCTGTTTTATGAGAAATAATCCTGTATTTCTTTTTTTTATCCATTTAAATTTAATTGGGAATTTTCCGTTTAGGTTTATAGTTGAAATTGAGTAAAACACAAGACTAATTCTTTTATTTATAATCTATCTATCTATAATATATCCATGATATATTATTAAAGTTATTTCAGTAAAATTAATGTATGAATTTTTCTTAATTTCCATTTTTAATTTTAATTTCATTTCATTTTTAAAAATTTCATATTCTATTTTTTTATTAAATTCTAAAAACACATACTTTATTACATATATTAATCTTAAGTATATAAAAATAAAATTGCACATTTTTTAATATTCTTTAGGTACTATTCTTCTACTTATGTATAAATTCTATTATTTTTTAATCTTATTGGAAGAATGAATTTTTATTACATACTTTATTACATATATTTATCACATACTTTATTACATATCATTTACCACATGAAAGAAGAAATTTCTATGCTCAACTAATTTACCAGCCAGCCAGCCAACCCCAACAGGTAGGTAGCTATCTAACTAAAGTCAAGACTAAAAGATAAAGCAGCGATGAGTGTACGTTAACTTATAATATTCTTCACAAAATCACTTTCAACTTAGAAATGATTAGCGGTGATGAAATTTGTCAAACATATTGGTCATGAAAATTGGCTATCAATTCTTAGAAAGAAAATAGACAGAGATAATAAAATAAACATATGTATTAATGAAAAATATCCAAAACAGAGTGCAAGAGATAGAAGACAGAACCTGCAACGGGTATTTCAACTGCGAACTCAGTGTAGCAAAAGACAGAGAACAGGGCAGAGATGCCGGAGATGACGTATGACAATACCACCGCCGGTCCCACCACCGTGCGGGCCTCAAGTCCGGTGAGGACGAATATCCCGGAGCCTATGACGGCGCCGATTCCGAACCACATAAGGTCCCACCAATTGAGCGTCTTCTTCATCTCGTGGCTACTCCGAGCCTTCATCTCAACAAGCTCCGTATGATCCTTGGATCGGGTCAAGACCCGATCCTTCAACCTGAACGGTGTTTCCAGAAACGCTCTCCCATAATTTCCCCAACTCTTAAACGACTCCTCAGGGAAGAAGTCGTTTGGGTGGAACGTGCATGCCCTTCTCCGTACTCCACCGTCGACGACGTCGTCCGCTCCCATCCCTGCGGGTCGTGAATTGAGGAAGATGCAACTTGTTAGATCATGAGAGAGTTTGTTTTATAATAATGGAAAAACAAGAAAAAAAGAAAACAACGCTGCGTTGAAAATGTTGCATTTCGGCAAATACATAAAAGAAAAGTAACATGGACCTTAGATTTCCCACCCTGTTTCTTAGGTTCTTTTTTTTGTCGCTATTTACGGAAATTGAAGGATGCGGTGAAGACAGGAAGGAATGGAATGCACCGCATTTTTTTTGTCGAGTGGCAAATATTTATTTATAAAGCCATGTATATTGCATGACACGGAAATCGTTGACCCAAGATAATATAAAATTGACATTATTGGGAGACGAAGACAAGGAGAAGAATCAGGAAGAAAACCGACTATTATATATGCAAATTACTATTAAATTATTTTTTTACTTGTCGTGTGTATCCTCACACACACTTTGTGAAATTGATTTATTTTGGATACGAAATGATTAGATCTTACTTGTGAAAGCCGGATCGAGGAGCGCGCGTGCTAGCTGGCTGGCTAGCTTGCGTGTCTAATCCCTTGATTGCAGATGTTTTCGATATTCACGAAAGGAAAAGCGTATACAAAGTTGTATCATTTTAAGTGATAGAAAAAAAGATAGATAAAAAATAAGAGAGTGGACAAAAAATATAAAAGATGTGAGTCTCATCTCTTTGGATATAAATTGTGTGATTCAAGAGGACAAACAATTTTTCTTTCAGGAATTTTTTTTTTTTCTGAAATGAAAAAATAAATAATTGAAAGAAAAAAATTATAATTCCCTTGATTGGATGATTATTTGATGAAAAGGTTAGAGATGGAAAAAAAAAAGTTTGTTGGGGGGAGGCCTAGGGGACAGGATAAAAGTCAGAGGAAGACTAAAATGTGAATATTATATCATTTTTTTGAAAATGGAATCAGAATATTCAGATTGATTGAAAAACTAGTGTGAACTAGTCAAGTTACGAATGTAGATAATTCATAAAATTAAAGAATCCGATATTGGTAGAGAACAGGGAGAGTGACCAAAGTGACACATTTGGACAAAAAAAAATTACCAGACTCTCACGTCAACAGTAAATTTTGTCAAAATGCCACGTGGCATAATTCGCTACACAGTGTAGCGAATTATGCATGCATAATTCGCTACACTGAGTAGCGAATTATACCGCGTGATATTTTGGTAAAATTTACTGTTGGCGTGGCAGTCTAATAATTTTTTTGTCCAAACGTGACACTTTGGTCACTGTCCCTAGAGAATAAGTAAAAAATGGGTAAAAGAAATTAATAAATTAGTGGCAAAAAATCGGTTTGAATCCATTTTTCTATTTTTTTAAATATTTTTATTTAACTAAAAATATATTTTAAGGCAAACAAAGGTTTATATATAAATTTTTATTATTTAGCTTTTTAGGATTCATTTTTTATCATATAAAATATATAATATGATTCTTTATTTCAATTTAAATATTATAAAATTCAATTTTTTATCGTTTACTTTTAATTTATTATTCAATACTATATAAATAAATAAATAAATAAATATATATATATATATATATATATATATATAGTTTGATGTTTGTCATTTTAAACGACATAAGTTATGTCATTTTAGGAGAGAGACAGACACAAGAAATGAAAATCATGGGAGAAAAAGTGGGTAGTTTTTTTTAATTTAAATTTTAAATAAAAAAATAATTTTTATGTCTATCTTTCTCCTAAAATGACATAATTTTATATCATTTAAAATGACAAACACTTTTATCATATATATATATATATATAAGAAAAATATTTCTGCAGAGTTACTGCACATAAGTTATCTGTATTTACTTCCAAAACGATATCGTTTTGAGATTGAAAGATTAAAAATTATAATAATAAAGACTCTAATAACCTTAAAATAAATTAAAATTATAAAAATACCATAATTTTTGTCCCAAAATGATATCGTATTGAATTTACTGTAAATTATTTATCTGCAGTAATCGCATAAAAAGTGAATTCTATATATATATATATATATATATATATATATATATAATCACGGTTTATGTACGATCAGATCAATAAATCTTAAAACAAATTTCTTCAGCGATTGCGTGTGATGAGGAAAACTCATGGAATCTGGACATTTCAGATTCAGTGACCAGACAATGTCAGGTTTTTTTTTTTTGGCTAAATTTTATCAATATGTTATACAAATCAGTGTTTTAAAACTCGGACCGGTCATCGAACCGGTCGAGGTACTGGGTCACTGAGTCACTGGTTCAACCGGGTTGAACCGGTTTTACTGTTCACATATTAAAAATATAAAAATATTACTTATATTAATAAAAATTCATATAAGAAAACTATCAATGAACTTCAAGAAATAAATTGGTTTTCAATAATAGCAAATATTATATACTTCTAAGCTTCTAGCTCTAGACCGTATCCTAATATTGGATTAAACCATGCAATATAAGTTAAATGCACTTTTTGTGCTTGACATGATACGGATAAATTAAATCATGATAGCAAATAGTATGCATGAAATATACACTATACGAAAAAAGTGTCCACCGTTGAGATGAGATTATGAGACCATCAGTGTTTATCACCACTTAACTTCATGAGATCATTATAAGATGCAACTAAATTACATAAACGAACTACACTAATCTAAAATACCTTATTATTTTCATCTTACTTTTAATCATATTCATCATAAAATATGAATATGATTTAATTCAAGAGTTCTTATCAACAAAAAAAAAAATTTACCAAAAAAAAAAAAAAAAAGAAGGAAAAACCGGTTTAACCCGAGTCAACCGGGTCGCCGAGTCGCCGGGTTTCGGCCGGGTCAACCGGTCCAATCTGGGTTGACTGCATAATCGGTCCAACTACTCGCTCGGACCGGGGAACCCACCGAGTCACCGAGTCCCGGGTCGACCCGGCCGGTCCGAGCCGGGTTTTAAAACACTGATACAAATAGTATTTTTTAGTAGAATGCAATGCGTTGAGATTTACTATGACTGATAACGAACTTGATAGTTAATAATTTTGTGACACATAACATATTTTTTGAGGAAAAGCTGACTGGACTAAGTTCGTTAATAGGGATAGCGAACTTTGTGTGCTATGTGATACTATCTCGTTGTCTTATCAGAATTAATGTATCAATCACAATCATAAAAAAAATGAAGAAAAAGGGTTATTTAATAAATGTACCAATCAGAATTAGTGTACCAATTGATTAACTTTTGTTTGTACCAATCATAATTTAATGTATCAATCATCAATCACTTCGGAAGGACATAACTTTGATTCTGATGTCTAAATCAGATACATTTTTTTTATTTTTTTTCACATAATTTTTCGAGATCTACACTTTTGGCATATTTTATCTCTCACAAACATTGTTCGAATTTGTAACAATAGTATCACAAACAATTAATGAACCAATCACAATTAATGCCAATCAAAATTAATTGTGATTGGTATATTAATTGTGATTGGTACATTAATTGAGATCAAAATTAATTATGATTGGTGATTGATATATTAATTGTGATTGATAATTGGTACATTAACTGTGATTAGTACATTAATTAAATAGCCATTTTTCTTCATTTTTATTTTAATTGTGATTGGTACATTAATTCTAATCGGGCAACGAGATTATGCCACATAGAGTACCAGTCAGCTTTTTCTGCAAAAATGTGTCACATGTCACGAAATTATTGGCTACCAAGTTCGCTACTAGTCGTAGCGAATTTGCACATTTGACAGACAGCTTTTCCTGCGAAAGTGTGCCACTTGTCAAGATATCATTGACTATCAAATTTACTACCAGTAGTAGTGAACTTAATGTGTGGTAGTTTGATAAAATTTACTCTTCACGTGACAATTTGGTATATAAATACCATAAAAATGGCACATTAATCACTACTCCCGAATTCTGATTCCCCTAATGGTGTCTCTCACTCCGGGATTTGTGCTAAGCTGGATTGTTGTAAGATATAAATTTAAATTACACATATGTCCTTGTTAAGATTTTTTGGTTTTACACACGAACCTACTGTGATTTCATGTATTACGTATAGGGATAGGTATTAACGGGTCGGATCAGGCTGAGCCGAGCTTTGATCTTAAAAGACTAAAACTGTGTTTAAATGTGTCAGCTTAACCAAGCCCGTTATGTGACCTGACTTATTTACAAAAAATAAAAGTTTGGTTTAGCCTGTTAGTCTGTTTTTAAAAAATAAAACAACAAAAATTTATCCAAACAGAATATACAATCAACAACACTAGTAATCCATAAATATTCATAAATTCAATGTATATCCAAACAGCATAATATAGAACAAAATCATTCAAAAAGTCTGTTTAACTAATAAAATGGAATGAAATAGATTGAGAAGAAAGATAGGACTATTACAAGTAGTATAAAAATAAAAATAAAGATATATATATATATATATATATATATATATATATATATATATATATAATATACTAAGTCAGCCTGAGAGGCTCTAAGGTCGAGCTTTGGGATTGGAGTCTAAGGCCTTTTTATTAAAAGTTTTTATACAAGTTCAAGCATGATGCCAGCAACCAATTTTAGACATGTAAGCTCAGGCATTTACCAGCTGAGCCAAAGACTCTAAGTTCGTTTAGCACCCCTAATTTCGTACATACAACACTTGCTATATCTTCATTTTAATTTTTTCGTGTGAATGATTTAATTCAATATGTTAGGGATATATACTCAAATTATGTATTGTATTATGTAGTTTAATTATGCTTGTTCCCCCATCTTTATATTGTCAATTGATCTACTTGTAGTATGACAAATTATATTCTCGAAAGCACGAAAGTAAAAATTAAGTGTAAAGGGGTGAAAATAAAATATATAGCCCCGTCTCATTACGATTTTAACTTAAAATTGTATTGATAGCCTAGGTAATCCGAGGGAAAAAAACATAAATCAAAGTGCATAAATCATTAATATGAGAAAAAAGTAGAGTTAATTAAAAAAAAAAAAATTCAAAGTTATAGAGGAAGGATTGGACGCATATCCCATCACTTCCAAACGTTGGGCTAAATCCCACTGTTAATTTTCGTTCTTTTCTCTTGTTTCTTCATTCTTGCCGAAGTAAGCGCTGCCGGCCAAGACAGTGACCTTAAACATTTTTCATTCTTATGTTTGGTATG